TTATTGGTCTCGCAAATATCAGTCTGAACATATTTGAATTGAAAAATCAAATGAAGAAATAATTCGTTACTGGTGCTTGAAAAAATAAGTACTCCTTGAATTTAATCTGAAAGTCATATGGAGCCAAGCAATAAAAAACAAAAACATTTTTATGTGTATCTTGAAACAATGGGGAAGCAAACTGTCAATTTGTTTTACATAGAGGGCGCTAAGTGTTTGTCATCAAAAGAACATACATTGGTTATATGGGAACATTTGTGATTTTTCGTTTTTATTCAGAGAAATGGGTCGTTGTGCTTCTTTCGGGTGCAAAGAAATGGAAGTTTATAAGTTTCCTGAAGATACTGTTATGAGATGAAAATGGAAAAAATCTTTGAGGATAGTAAAGTTCAAATGTACTGATCATTCTAGGTTATGTGGTGAACATTTCAAAGATTCTGATTTTGAGACTACTTCAAAGACACAACTGGTAAGTAGCATTGTGATATTAATTTTATAAAATTTCATAGGATTTTCACTCCGAAGAAATTTTTTTGAAAAATCAGCTGTACCTTCCGTATTTCGCTGTACTTCGAATTCTATCAGTCCACGGATGTTAAGATTAGAAAGAGAAAGAAAAATCAAACGTGATTTGAAGCCAGCTAGTAGTGAATTATCTGAAATTTTCGAAGATAAAGATAACCAACTCCTCTCAATGGTAAGTATCCAATAAATAAATTTATTATATTGACTGCTCAACCACCACTATATTCCATTTGATTTTCAGATATAAATTATCTAGACCTCCAACAAGAAATTGCCTCAGAAGTAACTTTTCACCCCGAGGAAGATAATCCCGATAAGGAAAGCCACCTAATCAGCCAGTCCGCACAAACACCAACTTTATTCAGATTATTTTCCATTGATGAATTTCTAATGAACAAAAAATCTGTTCTTTATTATACAAGTCTCTCTTGAGGGATATTCTTGAAATTAAAATGTCTATCATAAGCCTCTGATAACAAAATTGAACCTTAAAACTTGCATGTTTTTGAGGTTAGAATAATATTCATTGATTATTAGTGATAAAGACACAAAATATGTGGTTTTTTCTCATTATTATATTTCTTGGGAGCAAATTGGATGCAAAAAACTGTCTTTATAATGAGAGAGTTTTTCAAATATGCAAAATTATGAACCTTTCCACTAGATCAGCTTTCTTCCCTCCTAGGGTTGCACCTCTCCTCTGCAACTCCTCCTCCAACTGAGCGATACGTCATGTAGAATATATCTTGAATTGCAAGCAATTTAAATAAGAAACGTTCAAATAAATCAATTAATAACGGTGGAAACTTGACCAATGTGACAAACACTCAGCGCACTCTGCCGGATGAGTTTCCCGTAATCATCCCCATTAATACAATGCATTATTAAACTTATTTTTCATGAAAAACTACCAGAGAATAAATGAATAGGAAGAATACAAAAGCAAAATATTATTTTAGAAATTACCAAATTTGACAACAAAAAAACATTTATCTGGAAAAATTGTATTGAATTAGGTCCTATGAAAATTGATTCATATTTTCCGAACTTCAACAGTTCATAAAATTCTAAAGAAACGACTGAGAAACTAATAATTTTTTTAATCTCTCCAACTGTGTGGAAAATAGTAGTGAAAATTGTAAATCTTCAAATACTAAATCTAACGAAAACAGACAAAACACCATGGGCTGAAAAGTCCTGGGCCTAGTTGCTGGGAGCCAAATCTAGCGATTACGGTGGACGTTGTAGCAATTCGAAGTTCAATTCATATAGTTTGGCTTTTATTTCGATTGACTTGTGACACGGTGCATTGTTTGGATGGAACAAATTTTTTTCTTTGCCATATGCAGTCGTTTTTTGCAATTTCGGTCTTGAAACGCTCCAATAATGTTATATAATATTCACTGTTGATGGTATCTACCTTTACACCACGTACATCCCAAAATACCGAGGCCATAACCTTTCCAGTCGATTGTTGTACTTTCGTCCGCTTTGGAAGAGGTTCACCAGCTGCTTTTCACGCAGATTACGATCGTTTTGATTCCGGGGTGGAGTGTTGGATTCATGTTTTTTCCATTGTTACATATCGACGCCGGTTTGTTATGTTCAAAAATGGCCAAACACTGCTGAGAATAATCAAGACGTTCTTGTTTTTGGTCAACAGTGAGCTCGCGCGGCACCCACTTCTATCAGAGCTTTCTCACAGTTAAATGTTCATGCAATATAAAGCCAACACTTCCTTTTGATTTCTTCACGATATCAGGTAACTCACGCAACTTCACTTATTTATCATTCGAAACAATTTTTTGACTTCTTTTAATGTTTATGTGGTACTGCCTCAATTGGACGTCCGCTGCGTTCTGCATCATCGGTACTCCTACGACCACGTTTGGAGTCACCAAACCAACGTTCAATTGTTGTTTCTGATGGAGCGGAGTCATTATAATACTCTTCAAACATTTGCTTCGCTTGAACGGTATTTTTTCCCATCAAAAAGTAGTGTGAATTTTAAACAAAAATTGTTTTTGATCCACTGTTTGAAAATAATAAAAGTATGATCACTCTCAGCACAATAACTCACAAACTTATGAGTAGAATATCATGGAATTTCAACAGTTTTCTTCTGAAGGTAGGTTCTAACTGAAAAAGCGATGAATGCAATAAAACTAGCGACATCTAAGTGTTAGGCCCGAGACTTTTTAACCCATGTAGTATAGGAGGCTTAGATCCTAGGTGAATGGGCTTGTTTCATGTTTTTGGTTTATAGTTCAATTGATAGAAATTTAAAATTGGAAAACAGTGCACTTTGTTTCAGCTCTCGAAGTACCATAGTGCCCGTAATTAATTATAGTAGGCCGGTGACGTCCCGGGCCTATTCCCGCTTCTTGTTCAATTGACCAATGGGAACAATGAAAATAATCAACATTGCCAGATCGTAAAATTTACAAAGCCTAATTATGGAAGTGTATGTGAGCCCGTTAACGTTTCAATTAATGAAAAATTCTCCAAATGGAATAAAATGTACACAAAAAATCATGTTTGGAAATAAGTTCTATATTTGAAATCAGTACACAAAGTCGAAAGATCACGAAATATTTACTCAAACTATGATTTTATGCCTTATTTAATAATATTCAGTTATGAAAATCAAAAAATACAACAAATTGGATTGAATTATCATTTCAAATATTCAATTCATTCTACAATCCTCAATTTGCACAAAGAAAATTTGTTATAAAGAAAACGTCAAGCGTTATAATAGGCTCGCTTAGATAATCTGTTGAATCTTCCAAAACTTGTGAGGAAGGTTGAATGAGGTCAAATATGAACAGAATTGATTGTACTCGAACTGATCCAACAAAAGCTTCTGAGGTAATACCATTAATCATATGATAAAATTTAATGAAGTAAAATGAAAATCATTTGATTTTTTTGCAAACATATTATTTCATTTTAAATTTTTCAAAATCGCCGGGTGTCCACATAACGAAAATTTACCATATATCTCTAAAACACTTTTAAAGCACACACAAACTGAACTCGATGAACAAACGAATTGTTCCTACGCGAGCTGTCAGCTAAGAAAAAGTTGAAACTCAATTTTGCAAAAACAAGCAGAATGGATCCGATATGACATACATTTTCAATGCCGAATAAATCAATAATTTATGATCCGGGTACTCCAATTTCCTGAGAAAATGAACGATCAATTGAAATTTTCTGTAATTATTCATTCCTTTTTGTTAATAATTACAATTGTGGAATTGGCCGCGGTAGTAGTGCGCCCGACTCACGATCAGAAGGACGTGGGTTCGATTCCCGCCTCGACCAGATATTTTTATCGAGATAATTTATCTGGTTGAAGCTAGGATGATTCTGCAACCGTGTTAGGAATCACACGTTAAAAGGTAAGACCTCATTAGTCCTTAGCTCGCACAAGTTTCTCAACTTCTGAGAGTTGTCGTTCGTATGGAGCGACAGCTGATTAACGGAAAAACAGATTTTTTTTAAACAGAATAAAGCCAGCAAACAAATAAATATACAATAATAAGATCGCTGGAATCCACTAATTACCAAGGTGTACTTTCAAGTGGTTTTCGAATCCTAATGAACCCTAATAAAATACATTAATTATGCATTCATGCCACCCACCAAAAATAAGAAATTCAACGTTACTGGTATATTAGCCATATTGTCATCCAGTCAGCCAGCGCCCTCTGTAGTGTATGAGACAATGTGCTCTTTCCAATGTCAATGGTTTCCACACATAACTTCATATTTTTGTTAAAATAATTTCAAAATGAATGTTGAGCCTAGTTTTGTTAAAGCTGACTGAATTCGACAACTTACCAAAAGTCGATTTTGAAATGATCGATGAATTTGACTTGAAACATTTGCAATACTTTGGTACCGAAATGAAGAATGAAAAATTGAAACGGTAGGTGGTATATTTAGTAGGTTCCCTTTATTTATATGACATTGTTTTCAGACTTTCTCTTTTATCGAAGGATGGAAAGTTTTGATTTAATTTTTATTTTATCTCGGCCAACTGAAGAAAATCATTGGTCTCTTAGGGTTTAGTTTTTTGGAACACTGAAAAACTTTTCATCTGGTATGGATGATCTGTTTTTACAACTAGAATTTTCGTTTTATTGAATTCATAGTATATTTAAATTGGAAACAGCCAAAAAACTAATGAAGAACTAATGTTATTAACATTTTCCAAAGCATCATTTCAAAATACTAATGAAGTTCCCATATTTGAATATTCATTACTGAGAACTATTATATTGCTTCAAATATTATGCACAATGTTTGTCCTGTTTTTTCTACAAAACGAATATTTCAGATAACATTTGAGGAAAAATTGTAGTTTTTTCATCAATTACTTATCGGGAAATCGCTTGTATCATATACCACAAAACAAGACGCAGTTTCTCATTCTAATATTATCAAATAAGTAAATGTATGCTCACATCATTGAATTTTCTTCATCCCAAGCCAGTATCCTTGTCAGTTCAAATGATCCATGCGTCAGAGGCCTCACTCTATTTTTGTGAATCTCACAGATGTGCATGAAGTAGCCATTCTCATCATCCTTAACAGGAAGTCGAACAAGAACCTTCGTGCCGTTCGTGTTGAAAATCGGATGGAATATTGGTTCTGTCCATCCTATGTGCTCCTTCTCAACATGAAACTGCATGAATACATACATATATTACATACATATACTGCATTCTGATTTGCATACAGGTGAATTGTAAATTTACTCATTTTGTGAATCTGCATTCTCCTATTTTCAATGTAAATATATGGAAAATAATTCTCAATTTAAATGTAGTTCACGTGAAGTCACCAGGGATAGATTCGTTAAAGGAAGTGTTCACGATTCCAATGTTAATGAAGGTATAAGAAAAATTGCATATCCTCCAATGTTTGAATAGATATGAATGTAAAATCAACCCGAGTATAAATGAGGGATTTTACGTTGGTGGCCAAATTGTTGAAAACTGTGAAAAATATCAATTGTTTGAAGCGATTAATATAATTACTTGAACAATAACTTCTTATAAATCTATTTTGAAGATATATAGAAAACACTTATATATTCCTAATGAAAAACTTGAGCTTGAGTCATATTGTTTGTATATTCGATACAATACTATATTGAATATGGTAAAATAATATACCTTCAATATTCAGAAGTACTGAAGAAATAAATATAAACTAAATACATTCATATTGGGTTAATTCATTTATTGAGCGAAACTGAAGCTCAAAATAATTTTATATGTTTGGCTTTTGAACAAATGTTCTTTCAACATAATTCATTTCTATGATGTACATTAGGTCACTGAACATGAAACAAATGATAGATTTATTCAACAGTATATATGATTTTTATGAATTATGCTAAATTATGCATACATTAATTTACATTTTTCAAGTATATACATGACTCAAAGTATCGATATCAGGAAGCCAAACGATTATGATTTGAATATTTTTCCACAGAGTATATACTTCACTACTTATCAAAATGTACATTTTCAATAAACTACATCTCACGATTTGATCTCCACAACCTTTGTGGAGTAGTTTATGAAATAACTATGGATCTTCATCAAGTAACGGCAGAATCAATCAGAAAAAAAAAACAAAATGTTCATGCCATTTTTTTTAGTCCAGATATTTTTTAATTCAGATTTCATATTGAAAAAAATATGTAGCATTACAGCTTATCTAACACAACTATAAATTACATCGATGAGGGATTGTGGCTTGTATTACAGCCAATACATTCACAAACTAAGATAGACCTACTAAACAGCTCTGGACTAAAAAGTACTAGAGGGATGACAAAAATGATGAGCAGTATTTCAGAATAATAAGAGCTTCAATACAAGAGAAGATATAGAAACAACAGTTTGTGACATTGCGTTAATTGATTGCAGTATAGTGAGTTAAGGGCCGTCCATTAATCACGTGAGGCTTGAAAGGGGGGAGGGAGGTTTAGCAAAAATAACGAAATGTCACTAGTGGGGGGGTGTAGTGTATTTATTTTTCCGTGAAACGCGCGATTTCTAAACCGAAAAGCGGCGTGTAATGTGACTTTCACTCGCCGTTGCTAGGCAACCGCATCACAACATGACGACCGCCCGGCTCGTCTTGCCAGTTTATTATGTTATTTTGGCCCCGGAATACATGCATACACCGTTATAGTCGAAGTAACCGATATTGTAATCTTAAAGGTGTCGGCGAAGTCAAAGGCCAAAAAAACCAATACAAAGGAATTATGCCGCAACGAATTAGTCCACGTGGACTGATGAATTGGCGGTTCGTAATGGATAATTTTTACTAACTGGGTTTTATGATTGGCGAAAGAGTCATAAAATTAAATTTGAAGTCATGTTACGGTGTCCAACAGAATGTAGCGATTAGTACCGCCGTTGTGTTGTCAATGTTCAGTTCAGGAACTGATCTCGATTTGAGTGTGGAAATTCGATATTGGTGAAGTTATAATTACTTAAAATGTTTGTTATTTGTTTAAAATGTGGCGTCATTGGACAAGTACTAATAGTAATAACGAGTGTGNAGGTACTCAAAAATACACGTGAATTCGGCTGTAGGAGGGGGGTTACTCTCAAATCTCACCACGTATCACCGAGGGGAAGGGAAGGGGAAGGGGTTAATGCATGCTGAAAAAAATCACGTGATTAATGGACGGCTCCTTAGTCAACTATCCAGTATTATTTCAAATATGCGGTAGTTGTGATTGATAAATGTTTTCAATTCCGTTTTCAATTTAGTGTAACTTCTAATACATTTTAGTGATGGCTCAGCGGTGAAAATTTGTGAGATTTGGTCCAATGAATGTAATAAATTTTTAATTGTGAGTGACTTCATATGAAATTACGTCAACTGACAATACATAAATTAAGAATATAAATGAAATTTAATAAACCGTCTAAAGTGACTTTTTTAATGAAAGCCACTCCTTTTAATGATTCAATCGTATTAGGCATGAAAAATATGGGTAACTTTGTGAAAGAATACCCATTCAGAAAATTTGTAGTTTTTGAAATATTTGCAATTTAATATTTTTCAATCGACAGAAGACGAAAGGAAGAGTAGAATTCTGAGAATTCATTTTACTTCGATCTAAAAAAAATGTTTTTTTTTTATATTATCTGGACGGATGAAGCGAAGTTTACAAAAAATAGGATTTTCACTTAACGAAATTCCCATTATTGGAGCGACATAAACGTACATCCATTTGGAGAAATAAATTTATTTATAATGTTTATTGTGCCATAAGAAATGACAGCGTCATGGCCATTGAATTCAATGGAGACAATTTAAATGGTAAGTGAAGACAGTTTTGAATTCTTCTAGTTATGAAATACGTTTGATAATTTCTAGGTGAGCGTTATCGTAACATCTTACACAATTTTGAAATTTTACTACCTAAAAAATTTGTCACTGGCTGATCATAGAAATGTATTCTATCAACATAATGGTGCGCCTCCATATTTAGTCAATAATCAGCTGCAGCTATTTTATTATCAATGGATAGCCAACAACGGACCACATCTTTGTCCACCGCGTTCCCCAAATCTGACATGACTCGTTTTTTTCATTTGTTTATAATACCGGAGTAACCACCAAGATAGATTGCATGCGGATGATCAGAACTGCATTTTAAGAACTTAACTCTCAGTCAGAATGTGTAGGGGAGCTTACGTAATCTTTTCACGGTATAGTCAATATGATCATTCCAACTGATGCACTGATACACCAAGTATTTTATTTTATCAGTTTTTTCTATGAAGGGACAAATGCGTGGAATCTATCATTTTGGCAAGTTTATGGATCTCAATCTCTGTAAAATTGGGTTGATCCTGTTTTGTTGAATAAAATGCGATGTAGTTAGTTTTTTGACACTGACACTCAATAAATTATTACTCAGCCAGTGGAAAATTATTTTTATACCTGCCTCCGCTTTTTATGAGCTTTTTCCCATGTGGGCCCAACAAAAGGTAATGCTGTATCATTCGCAGAAGTCGTATTACTACTTTGGAAATCTCCAACCAAGAAATAATTATTTATATGTAACGATGCCCAACAGGCTGAAACAGCTGTCTCCCGGTGGCTCTTAAATTGAAATCAATATGGGGGTGATCAGAATAATACTTTTCTATTTATTTATTCACCTTCATGACTCTACCCAAACTGAACAATTTATCTTCTTGTTTGTTCTTTTATACGGTTAGATCGTCTTAGTGAATTTGTTATTGTTGTTGATGGTTTATTAATTACGGCTTGGACAGGAATTTGTTCTTTTCTTTCTTCCGGATATCTCATTAAACTTGCCTCTACTTTGGTTACATCAGTTAATATCCTTTGTGTTATTGTTTCTCTAGGTTCATTGTTTTTAGGAATGTGTATTGTTTTGTGGAGTTTATTGAATGTTAGGTCTTGTGTTTTGATTTATATTTGTTCCTCGATAAGTGAATTTTGACTTTTGAATTTATGGATATTTAGGTTTTCCCAGATGTTCATACCGTTTCCTTTATCGACTTGTTTTATGAGTTTGATGTTTTCTGGTTAGTAAAAGTTATCTTTGATTTGTATGGCGTGTGTTGCGAGGTTTGATTTATATATTATTGGGTATGCTTTTTTGTGCTCGTCGTATCTTTGGATCGGTTTTTCCTTGGTTCTATATCGGCCAAACCAAGAAAAACTGATTCAACTACTGAACCCAAAAGAGAAATATTTATTATGTACAAGAAGAATTCTCATCTCAAATAATATTATATAAATCAACAATTTCTGATTTACCTATTCTAAAACATATATAACCAATATATTTTCCGAAGCTTGATGATGAATTATTCTTTACTTTGAAAATTTCATTGTTATACTCACATCAGAACAATTGAAGTTATTTCTAAACTCGCACGTGACTATTACATACAAGTTCTGATCTCGGTTCAACCAGACGACTCCAACATTGTTTTTATCTTGGATGGTTACACTTGTGATGTAGCTATCAGGTTCGACACTATTGGTAGGTTTCAGTCTAGAAGGAAATAAATATTTTGGCAACGTTAGGTTGACTATCCAAACTGAAACTTCTGGATTTTTTGTCTCCACCTGGAATGAGAGAAAAACATATACATACACCAGTGATGAAACGTATTGTTATAAATGAAAATTGAAAAAGCATCAATGTATTAATGCTGAAGGGGTGGTTCTAAGATAGTTCCTACCTCAAAAATATGCAGAGTGTAACAAAAAGGTAAATCATAAATTGTACCACATAGTCTGGGATCATGAATAACTCGGTTGGATATACCTCACCATTTCATGAACTGTTCAACATTTTATAATGAGAATTGATCCATGACGTTCTTATCGTAAGAGCATCTTTTTCATATAAAACTACGAAATCTGTTCCGCCTGAAAAAATTTGAAGGGGTATTGGATTTTTAAAACTCCCCAAATTTTTCTATGCGTAACAATTGAATTAGTTTGCACATATAGTCAGTGGGCATGCTTGAAAACTGGTTATAAATCAAATCATCTGAAGGAACGGATCGTCCAGGCCAGTCTCAACGCCCTACACTGTAGGTTAATGGACTGACGCCTATCAGAAAAGAACTACTTCCCTGGTTAATACCATGAAGGGCGTTGAATTATATCCGACAGGTGTCAGTGCAGGATTTTTTACTAAAGTTATTCCTAAATATGCTATTGGTGATACAACTGCCGCAACAGCTTTTCAATTAATGGAACACACTTGCAGACCGGTTTCGGGCAGTTTGGCCACTCATCAGTGCAAGGTAATTGAAAATAGAATTTCTCCAGAGTATCATTTCTCGAGCAAGGCTGAAGCGGACAATGAACAACAGGTTCGCCATTGCCCCATCTGTCTGTGAACGAGGTAATCAACCGCATATCCAAAATTTGACCAATTCCTCGTATGAGAAAAGAAAACTTTTCGCATTTAGTCAGTGGACATACTTGAAGACTAGACAAACATCAAATCATCTAAAGAACAATTCGTTCAGGCTAGGCCTACATTGTAGGTTATGTATGACTATATGTTTGCACTATTTCCTTGACATTTACCTATGATTGCCAGAATAACAGATAATTTTCCAGAAGCTTATTTCAGCCTGCATTGTCCTTGATAAAAAACTCACCTGGAACGCTCACTTGGAAAACGTTTTACACAAAGCCACACTGTCCCTATGGACATGTCGAAGGATTTGTGATAAAACTTGGGGTTTAGGTCCCAAACAAATCCATTGGATTTATGTGATGAATGTCAGATCATTGATCACTCATGGTGCAATTGGCTGGTGGCCGAAGGCTTTACAGAAAACGGTCCAGGCGAAGCTCTTTGACTTACAGAGACAGGCTTGTCTGGCCATCAGTGGTGACATCAGTACCACACCATCAGCGGCCATGGAGATCCTTATAGATCTACCTTCTCTCCACATTTTCCTGGAGATGAAGTCTGAATGGAGAGAGAGGCTAGGCGAACTTTGTATAGACTTGTGCACATAGCCAATTGTACAAATCAATTCAATGCAGAGTGCAACATACTGTTGGTTGACACTCGAAGTCACAGCATTCTAGAAATGACCTCTGACTTTATGCCTCCAACTGTCAACTACGAACTGCCATATAAAGTACTCTTCCCGAGTACAGAGGACTGGATCCTCCGGGAGAAGGAAATATCAAGAGCAGATAATTAGTTCACAGATGGATCAAAAACACCTTCCGGTTCTGGTGCAGATGTTTCCAGACGCAGACCCAGAAAAGAGATATCTACCTGCCTAGAAACCCATACCACTGTATTTCAAGCGGAAATTTAAGCTATTGAATTATATGCGGAGAGATTGGAAGAATCCAACCTCATACACAAGTCAATAAAAATATTCTCGGACAGTCAATAGGCGTTGAAAGCTCTTGGTTCCTACCGAGCAACGTCTAAATTGGTAGCAAATTGCCAAAAACGACTCTCCTCGATAGAAATACTTGACAGGTTGTCTCTGGTCTGGATTCCTGACCATACTGGCCCGGAAGGCAATGAGGCTGCTGACTCCCTTGCAAAGGAGGGTGCTGCAAGCAGCTTCATTGATATGTATCGCTTAAGGCTTTGCCAAACAAACATTGAACACCTGGATGGCAAGAAGATTTATGGAGTTATGCCAGAATATTCCAGGATTGGCTCACTCCAAGGCGTTCATTCAAACTCTATACGAAGCTAGATTCAAAACAGTTATTGGACTACAGTAGGGATGAACTACGATGTCTAACAAGCCTTCTTACAGGTCACAGAGACTCGGACTGCCGGAAGACAGTGTGTAACCTAACCTAACCTAGTTTCAGCCTGACCAGACCCACCAAGAATTAAATGCATATCTGCTTTTTGTGCAAACGTATAAACCATTGTAACAGAAGGTTTAGTTCTTCTCAATACTTTAAAAATTTGCAACAATCAAAAGCTTAAATTTATAGTATGTAATTGTTGAAGCAACTGTTTGTTATATATCCATAGGAACTAAAAGTGTTCAACAGCCAATAAATGAATTTTTCGAAGATAATGAAAAAGAGCCTGCTTCTCGATAAAAACGTGACCAGAGTTAGATAAACATCATATTTCAAACCAATTGTGTCACATTATCAATTTGATTCTAACGCATGAAGAAGTTTGGGGGGTTTGAGTGGTTAAATACATCTCTAAAATTTTTATGACTGAGCAGATTTCATCGCAAATAGGTACTTCTTTTTCTTTTCACGAGTTCTGAAATGGATTGTAATTATTTTTTTTATCCCCTCATAAATATCCCCTCAAAAACATCTAGAGGCGTCATGTCAGGTGATCTAGTGTACTCCCTAATAAACCAAGCTGCCTGTCTACCAATTTGGATAATTGGCAAACCCAAATGAGTTTTTAACTAATGTTATGTTTCAGAAAGATGAGATACTTTTTTTAACGATAGGCTGGTTCGGAAGTGGTATACAGGCAGACATGGTCCTTTGAAAGAGCCCAACAGATTACTCGAAATGATGCCTCTAGGTGTTTTTGAGGAAATGCGTGATATCTGAATTGTACGATACATATAATCGCAGTCCATTTCAGAACTCGTGAATGGAAGAAGAAGTACTTGAAATTGAATTGCCCTGGGAATATTTCATAATGTAAAAAATGAATTTGTAAAAATACTTCATTATTGTCAGGAAGAGAATGATAAATATTTTGAACATTTATTGGAATGAAGCGAAGTGAGTTCTGAAAAAATATTTTTTGAAATCATGATATTCATCGCCTGTTTGCAGATTCTATCAACTAATATACATAACTGCTTAATTATTACTCAGGAACGGATTATTTGATTTCCAAAAATGAAAAACATGAAGAAAAACAAAACAAGAAGAAAAACAAAACAAGAAGAAAAACAAAAACATGAAGAATTGAGCTACCTATTGAAAACGTATCGTAAGACTTCCTTTACGTAAAAAAAAGTTGTTAGCACCGTCTTAGCGATGAGTCATGCATCAGCAATGTCATTTTCACAAAAAAATACTAAAATAATACCATTTTACGTAAATGTTGTTCAACCTCGATTTTTTGTCTCGTTCATAACCGAAGAGAAGAGGGACTATTCACGTCCACAGTGTATAATGAAAATACCTCAATGAAAATTTATTCAGATAATATAACTATAATTACATTCAAAACTCTCCATCATACGAGATCTGTTGAGAAAATGAGGTGATTATTCAAATTTCGCGGGCTACGTATATTCGATTAGCGTTTTTTTTTGTTGGAAAACTTGTTTAGACCATATGTTCAGAGTAACAGCTTTTTAGCATGTTCAGTTTGTTGGTGGGAGGCATAAAAGTTAGACGTGCTTTAGGTGTTCAGTGATTTTCTGCCATCGAAAAAACTGGATCAGTGAATTTGCATCAAATTTTGAGTAAAAAATGGGATAAAGTGCTCAAGAATACTTGAAATATTGACAGTGGCATTTTTTTCGTAAATTTTGAGCATGAAGCATGTAGCAGCGGAGTTCGTTCTGAAATTGCTGAATTTTGCCCAAAAAAATCGTCGCATGAGCATCGCTCAGGAATTGTTGAATAACGTCAATAACGACCCAGATTTGCTGGTGACGAATCATGGGTATATGGTTATGCCATCGAAACCAAAGTTAAATTGTCCCGATGGAAGACGCCTGGAGGGCCAAGACCAAAAAAAGCACACCAAGTTTGATCAAATGTCAAAGTTTTCCGATTATCATGGTGTAGTGCATCAGGAGTGTTTGCCACATGGTCCTACGGTCAATAAGGAGTATTATCTTAGAGTTATGCGCCGTTTGTGAAAAGTAATTTTTGGCCAATAGCAACATCGTAATCTTGCCTCCATCCACCGTTTTCCCCATATTTGCCCCCTTGTGACTTTTTTCTGTTCCCAAGATTGAAGAAACTCGTGGAAGAATGGCATTTTGTGATGGTTGAGCAGATACAAACCAAATCTCTGAGAAAGCTCAAGGACATACCAAGAAGTGCATATCAGAACTGCTTCAAGAATTGGAAAAAATGCTGCCATCTGATCGAGACTACTTTGAAAGGGACAAAACAAAAATTGATGAATGAATAAATATTTTTGGGAAAAATGAAAATTCACCTTAATTTTTCTTAATTTACCTTCAACTACTTCGAAAGTCACTTAGAATTGAAAATGGGAGTTAGAGGGATGGAGGAGACATGACTATCAATTCTCGATAGTCATGTCTCGATAGGATTTTTTTTGTTTGTGTTTCAGGAACATGACATGAAATATTAGCTGACGGCAGAATGATATTCTTAATCTATTCAAATGACTTATAATGTACTCAGAGATTTCATATTAAACATTATACTCACCATTGGATACCTGAACGATTTTATTTTCGGGTATACCATCTGATCAGATCCTTGTGTGTCATACCAGGAATACTTGTATTCTCCAACATTTGTGTCGTTGAAAGTGATATAGAGCAAATATAGCCCATCTGGAGAAAACCATATCGTATGTGATGTTTTCAAAATGAAATTTTCGTAAAGCCAGTCTGGTACCCCATTAAATATTATTCCTGGTTTACCGTTATATGTTATCCTACATACAAGATCTTTCTCGACTTTCGGTTTATAAAATATATCATTTTCATAAATGAAAACGACCGCAGCTCCATCAGGTGACCATTCTGCGTATTGAAGGTAAGGGGCGTTGTCATCTAATTCTTTTGGAGATAACGGTTTCCTTAGTCTGAAATACCAATGGGTTGAAGTTGTTAGTATTCAAAATCATATCCAGGTGACAATAACTCACACAGCACCAGATATTCATGGAATACTCCCTCTATATCATAAAACGTATATATTCCAAATATTTATGGAACATTCTTGGAATATATACATGCCTTTAGAATATTCATAGAATATGCTTGAATGAATATGGCAGGATTATTCCCGAAAGAATGTGCATAGAATGTCTGTAAATGGATTATTCTCCCGTGAAGATTCTAAAACTATTGTCGATCGAATATACCATCGAATATACCATGGTGTATTACTTGAATTTTGAATTATCTTAGGATAACGTATTCAAATAATTGGATATTATTAAAAACAGAAATATTTGAAGATATCAATCAAATGCATAACCTAATGTTCATAACCCTTATAGTGTTAACCAGTTTTTGAACTCATCGCGAAGATTCTGATGAATTGTTCCAACTATTGGAAACGACAAAAAAATTCGAATGGTCCAATAAATGAAACATTTGCATTAATAACACGGTTTATTCTCATCCTATTTTTCTTTTTGTATTTGAAATTATTCAATTCCAAAGCGATAAATCCCGGCAACAGAGAAATGGGGAAGTGAAATATTGGAGTAAACGTTTCTCATTGGACAATTGAAGTGTAGCGCGCAACAGTGGAAACTCCTTAACGCTCGACAGCTTTGCTTTGAAATCGACAATTAGTTCAACATGGCGGTTGGCATTGGTGCTATTATCAAAGTATTATTTTCTCATGTTTGGTGTACTATTTATAGTTTGAGGGTGTCCAATTTGCAGTCCACAAATAGTTTGCTTTTCCATCTTCAAACAGTAGAGTTACATATTCAGTCTTTGAGAAAAGTAAGTAAAAGACAATAGTATAACAATTGCAAATTTTTACCTGCACCAAAATCCTTCAAAAACATTTTTTTGAGGTGATTCCGAATCGAATGAGCTCATATTTTCAGTACCTTTATCTTTATTTTTCATGTTTTTCAACTTGTTGATTAGACTACAAACAAAACTCTTCATCATGATTCCACAAGCCCAACGTCGTCAGTCTGAAAGGCCAAAAGCAGTAAATTCCATGAAAAATTTTAGACATGACAACGTTCCCGATTATCGAGGCAATTCACGGCGCATTCAAAAACTTTCCTCTATGATTCGAATATGCGCACTTTGATTTATTACTAAAAATGGGGATAGTGACACTATTGAGTCTTTATAGAATTCTAGTTTGCTCTTTAGCATCAGGTATGAAAAAGCAGTTCAGTCAGATCGGACCAGTAACCCAAGACGAACAGTAAGGAAGAGCGGGAGTAAACCATCAACCCCAGGCAACACGGAAACGGACAACTACACAGAGTGCGGTATGATCGCAGTGTAATAAGCAGGACTGAAAATCAACTCACGAATAAAACAGGTGATAGTGCGATCTCAACCAAAGTGGAAGTGTGCGATATTATGCAATTCTGCGCATGAGTGACGAAAATCCCTTATCGGTTCGGGTCAATCGACGAGGGTAGAAAGTAGTATTCAGTGAATATAGGGCAAAAAACGATTTGTTCAATCTCTGACATACGCTGTTGATTTGATCAGACCACATACATTTTTCATCAATAATTGTGCCTAGAAAGGTATTGGTCGGGCTGGTAGTGACCATAAAATTATCTATTTTGATTGATATATTATTGGACAGTGACCTAGGATTTCGATCCTATGGATCCATTGGAGTCATTGATATACAATAAAAAAGGTTTGGAGACAACATGGATCCATGAGGGATATCAGTGTTGACGATAGAAGTATTCGAGAGATATCTATTTGCAGGGAACGTTCTTTCAGGAAGCTGGAGAGACAAACACAAAAATGTTGCGACAAGCCACAGCATGAAAATTTGGCCAGCAAACCCTCATGCCACACACGGTCAAAGACTTCAGAAATATCAAGCGCAAATTCACTTGACTCTTCATGTTTTCAATTGCGGTATTCCAAATATGGGTGACATACGGTAGAAGGTCACCCGTTTGTTTCCGAAAGCCATATTGATGATCGCTGAAGATGATGAAGCCTTCCAAATATTTAGGGATATGGAAGTTTACGGCTTTCCCCACGATTTTTGATATCACTGATAGCAAAGCGACTGGTCCATAGTTATTTGGAAGATTTTTCTTGCCTTTTTTGGGAATAGGTTGAACGCGAGGAATCTTTCAACAAAAAGAAGTCTGCAAAATACTGGTACACTTTTCAAGTACAATGAAGGACACTTCATCAGGACTAGATGCCTTGTTGATGATAAACTGTTTCAAAATTCGCCTAAATAGACGTTATATTTGGCATTGTGGATTCTAGTGTGGGAATTGTGGGTAGTGCCTTTCCCAGAAAATCGACGCTGTAGTGGGGCGCAAATTGTTCAGCTAGTAGATTTGCTTTTTCTGTAGCTGTTGTTGCAATTGAACTATCTCCTTGTTTTAGCAGTGGAATTGTGGATTTTGTAAAGTTTCGATTAACAGCTTCAGCTACCAACCAGAAGAATCCAGCCCCTAGAGATTGGCACTTCTTTGTTTTCATTCATTCTAAGGCTGCAACTGTTGCGAGCATTAACAAACCTAGTTAGGTTTTTGGTACTTAAATTTTTGTGTCACTGCCGGTAGGCGAGATTTTTGTAGGCGACAGCTTGCTTGCAATTTTTGTTGAACCAAGGTTTGCCGTTAGTTCTGAAGATCCTCCCAATCGGCAGATCTGTAATGCCAAACTTTGCGAGGCTCAGATTGTTCCCCAACATTCATCGGTAATTCTCATACGGTGACTTTGTTAATATCAGTATTGGTTGTTGAGTATAGATCCAGAAGACTGGCATATTCTCCATTACGGTCAGGAATAATCCGAATAAGTCCACTGCTTGTTGCAAAATCCTCAGCTACGCGACCTTGTTCGACGTTGCTATTCGAAAATTTGAGCCATTCGATATTGTGGACATTGAAGTCACCGAATATGGAAATTTCGGCAGTGTGATAATTGATTTGCAGAAAGTAATTGGTATTTTCAAGTGGAGAGAATAGTGTCCTATATTGTGTATCACTTGGTGGTCGGTAAACGCAACATATGAATATAGTGATCCTCTGTGATCCTGTGAACTTTGAAAAAGAAGCTCTGTCGAATAATGAGAGATTCAGAAAAGATGAAATGAGATGTAAAGGTGGTGTGGTGAAAAAATACTTGTGTTTCTGTATAGTTTGTATTGTGCAGAAAACAGTCTGAAATGTTACAATTTTTTTAAATTTGTGGGCTATAACTCAGGAAATGAGATAGAGTAGCTTTTTTTTATTTTGGATTTGTAATCTGCACCTCCAAAAATGTGGCATTTTTTTAAATCGGTACAGCCTACCTGTAAATTAGCATAATCTGTCAATTTACATATCTTTGTAATTAGTTTATTTTGAACTCAATTGGATTTTTTTCTTCGAAATCTCTTACAATTTTTGTATAAATATGGAGAAGTAAAAGCCAGAAAGATTTTTTCCTAAGTAATATACCTTTCTCCTTTCAATGTGACACTTCATTGGCGATGGAACTCACAATCCTCTGGCAAAGTTTAATTTCGCAAAATACTGATATAATAGGTATTCTATGGCGCTCTCCATTCCTTCTTGAAATTAGAAAAAAAATCATCTACTCAAAACTATCATTATTATTCGCTACTATTTTCAAACTCTCTTCGAAACCTGAGCTACCGGGTCGTGAATTCAAAACCATTTATTACAAGTGCTTTAATCTGAATAGGTGGACGTATTCATTTTCTTTTCAACGAACCAGCTCAATTCGATTAATTCCAAGTATATCAGAACTCAATTCAATAGCGGTAGTAGAGTTTTTCAATTTCAAGAATTATGCCATCCAGCACGTACAATATAAGTCCAGATAATTAGGTCAACAACAAAAAATGCTATCGCGTATTCGAAAGGATTATGGTTGAATTAAATTTATAACTGCTCATTCTTTTGGCATCAGAAAGTGAAATAAATTTGACTGATTGAGTACTGAATGAACATAGAATTATTTCAAATAGGGCCAAAATCAGAATCATGACAAAGTTTACACGAAGGTAATAATAATGATCCTAAAGTTTAATGTCTACGAAAGATAAAAAACTTTTGAAGAACATAAAGGCACGTATCCATAACTGCGAAGACGTTACATTACGTCTGGTGGAGACAACACAAGAGCAACAGCAAGACAATATTGTCAACTGCTATCTGTTCAACAACTCTCACTGCATGACATCCTGCTGCTAGTCTTTCACATAAGTAATCGACATGGGAAATCAAATTTTAGATTTTTATCAATGTAGAGCCCGAAAAATCTGTTTTCCCCAACCTTTCAATTTTAACATTTTCCAAGTGTGCTTCTCCTATGTTGAATGATGAAAGATTGGAATCGCATAACCCTTTAACCCTTCTTATGTCGACGACGATTTGATCAGGTAAATTTGAGCAGTATTGCTGTGCTAGAGGATAGTGGTGTCGTCAGCGAAACATGTGAATTTATCACTTATGTCAACATGGACTAAGTCATTAACATAAATAGGAAACAACACCGGCCACAAAATAAAACCTTGTGGGACCCCCAGCCAATGGAATGTTTCTCTGATGAACTATCAAGAAACCTATCTGAACGTAGTTTCACTGTTGTTGCAAAATAGCATTCAGGGTTGCTATGAGACGAAGCAACAAACCACTCCTACACCTGCATTGGAGCTAGTCTTCAATATTCCTCCTTTTTATCTAGTATCAATAGAGGAAGTAAAGGTGTACCTAGTCAGACTGATAAAACTCACTGAGTTACATGAGACCGGGTATAACAGAAATTTGGAATATGTACAGGAATGAACATCAAACAAGATTTTGGACCGCATGCACCGAAATACATATTCAACACAAATTACGCGGTTGGAAGTCTTAGACCGTGAAGAGTGGAAAATGAATGATCATCCCGATAACATGCTCGGAAGCAATACCTGGTCTATAGACGGGTTGAAAACCGAACCTGGGCCGGGATCTGGAATATATTTTGCACTGAAGTGTATGCATTCCTGTACTTGGAGCACTGTGGAACCCAAAATAATGTACTGAGAAAACATACCCGTTAACACACACGGAAAAACCCTTTACAAAGGGACCGTCCGTAAAAAGAACTGAAGAGCTGCTTCAACAAAGCAGAGATCGGCTTAGAATGATTACGGACTTACTCACTGGGCACTGCCCAATGGAAGGATACTTGAATAAAATGAGGCTGTAAATCGGGGACCTTAATTGCAGACAATGCAAGCAACAAAGGGAAAAAGACAGCTTGGCGTATTTTATACAAATGTGTTGCACTGGATCACAGGAGGTAAACAATCCAAGATCAATCCAAATCATGTTCAAAAGAATATGACATCCATCCTACAGGAGTCTGCACAATTGGAATTTGTGTCATGGAAAATATGTGAGAAAAATGCAGTATTTACTGGAGACTTTGGACAATTGGATAAATCAGACGGCTCCCAAGTAGGTAGTAGAAAAAAAAAACTATTTGAAAGGCATCAAAGTTCGATTACTGCTCTGACTTGCAAACGACTCCTGTAACATGTAAAACACGAACATGTACCCTTTCTTCAAAACGAAGTTGAACACCAACAATTGATGGGACATTGCGATGCTGTGTTGCAATATTGTTACGCTGTATGCTGAGTAGCATCCAGGCAAAATAGTTTCAGAAGCTAACAATATCATATATTCAGTGTTACATCACGACCCACTAGCTTATATGCGCCCACGAAAACGATTTGAAAATATATTCACTGTGAACTCTGAAGGGTGATATGTTCTCAATAATTTGATTTGATTTGAATTCTATCAATTTTCAATTTGTATAGATGAATAAAATTTCAATTGATGAAAATAATTGTTGAAGAAATGAAGTGGCGTTGTAGTACGACTAAAAATAAGAAATATATCACAAAGTCGCATGACATTGGCGGAACGTTTTATATCTATTTTATTTTCTTGAACAATATTGTTTGATCCGGTGAAAATTAAGTCATTGTTTAAAAAAAGTCACAAAATTAAAGAATTAAATACTAAATTTCAGTTCCTTTGAAATTTTCGACTTGTATATTTTCATTGGCTGGCATTACTGACATCAACAATTTGATTTTGAGTTTAATTCAATCACAACCTACTCACCTTGTAGCTACTTCATAAATATAATATTTCGCCAAGGTTGTGTATCTATAATTTTTCTTCAAATCACTGATAAGGAGCATATACTTCATTCCATTCGATATTTTGAAATCGTCCACTTCGTATTGCATCTAAAAAAAAACAAAAAACTGAATGTTTTTTTCATTTACTCCTAACAATTTTCATGGTTTGAATGCAACATAATTCCATTCGCGTAATAGAAATTCTAAAAGTTTTTACTGTGTGAAATCAAGTACATCACAACCCATTACAAGTAGAGAGAATAATAAATCCAATAATTTATTCCGAAATGAAATACTGTAGGCGATATTTTCAAGAGCAATTGGACATATTTCTTTATCTTGATATCTAGCAAGGTACTGTTTTGGGGTCAACTCTCTTCAATCTTTATATCAATGATCTTTTCGAACAAGATACGTGTGAGGAAGTTGTAAGTTTCGCGGACAACACTGCCGTTTTCTACGAAGGAACTGACTGGACCACTCTCAAAAATAACATCGATAGATAACATACTGACAATCAATTATAAAAAAAACTCACTTTGTGCCGTTTACATCCTACTCTACAAATTTACCACCATATAAAGAACTGGAAATACAACATCAGGACGGAACCCTTCTGAAAATAGAGTCCGTCGATAAGCTTAAATACCTAGGCATATATATAGATTCTCATTTGAATTGGGAATATCAAATTAATTATGTAATTGAAAAGTTGCGATTCATGGTCTATAAATTCAAAAACATATCTAACATCATTAATATAAAATATCTAAAAATACTGTACCATGCTTTGGTCGAAAGTCATCTTTCCTATGGAATCATTGCATGGGGAGGAGCCTCAAAAACACTTATCAATAATCTACAAAAAATTCAAAAATGCATGCTTGAAATGATATATAAAAAACCGCGAGAATATCCGTCATGTAGCCTATATAGAGAAACGACGATAATGAATGTAAGCCAGATATTTGTTTTTGCGTTGGCACCTCTTCAGCACCATTACAACACAAGGCATAAAACTAACGCTGTGATATCCAGAACTAAAAAAACGAAATGGTAGAAATGTTATACTTTTTTGGGACCGAAACTTTTTAATGAGCTACCGCTCGAACTCAAAACGATCAACTCATACGAAATGTTCAAGAAAAGGATCAGATCTTGGCTGTTCACTTTTCCACCAGAAACACTAGAAAGCTTTATAGCTACAAGTAGTGTATGTTATAGACTTGCATGAGGTATTGCTCATAATATAATCTGCAGAAATAATTATTCGGATGTAATTATTGTAATGTGATATTAGTGCCAAAATTTTTCTTTAATCTGATATGAAGTTCCATATTTTAGAAATGTGACATGACTTAAACTTTTATAATCTTATTCCACCTTGAATTGTTTAGTTTTTGGTTTGGATTTTAAATCTTCTAGTATTAACAATTTTTAGATTTGTACGTTTTTATATT